AAGACCCTCTTATGAAGAATACCTAAAGCAAAAAGACCTGGGGGCATAGCAAAAGTGTGGTAGAGTACCTGCCTAGTATGTTTGAGGCTCTGAGTTCCAAATGTCAATACTGAAAAAAAAATAGAAAAGAGTAAAAACAAACACCTCACTGGTAAATACAAATATAGGCTTAGAGTGAAATGATAGAAAAAGATTTTCTAAGCAAATGGATCCTCAAAACAAAGCAAGAATAAGTATGCTCCTATCTGATAAAACAGACTTCAACCAAAATTAGAGTAAACAAAAAAGATTATTTTCATTTTAAAAGGGAATAATCAATCAAGAGGAGATAACAGTTGTAAACATAAAAGCACCAAACATTGGTGCACCAAATTTCAAAAAGACAAAACACTACTGAACATAAAAGCACAGATAGATTCCAACACAATAATAAAATGGGAGACTTCATTACCCTGCTCTCACCAGTAGATAAGTGATCAAGACAAAAAAATCAACAAAGAAATTTCAGAATTCAGTAACTCCATAAGACCAAATGAACTTTACAGAATATTTCATTCAACAGCTTCACGCATTTCCTCGGCAGCCTTTCAATCTATTTCCAAAATAGATCACATTTTAGGACAGAAAGCAAGTCTTAACAAATACAAGAAAAATTAAATAACTTCATGTATTTTATCAGACCATAATGAAATAAAACTAGAAATCAACAGCAAAAGACACAACAGAAAATATTCAAACAAATGGAGACTGAATGATCAGTAGATCATCAAAGAAATGAGAGGGAAATAAAAAAATTCCTACAACCAATTGGAAATGAAAACATAACTTACCAGAACCTTTGGGACACAGCAAAGGCAGTGCTAAGAGGTAAGTTTGTAGCTATGAGTGACTATATTAAAAAGTCAAAGAGATGTCAGATAAATAGCCTGATAATGCATCTCAAGTTCTTAGAAAAACAAAAACAAATCAAACCCAAATTAGTAAGTAAAGCTTGGAAAAATAAGAATAAACCAATCCCAAATTAGTGGGCAGAAAGAAATGAAAATTAGGACAAAAGATAAAACAAAGAATCAGTGAAACAAAAAGTTGGTTCTTTGAAAAGATAAATATGACTGGTAAAACACTTAGCCAAATTAACCAAAAAAAAGTAGGGAGAAGATCCAAACTAATGAGAGATGAAAAGAGATATCACAACAAATACCAGTGAATTTCAGATGACCATTAGGGAATACTTTGAAAACAAATTCTAATAAATTAGAAAAGCTAGAAGAAATGGATAAATTTCTAAGTGTATATGACCTCCCAAAATTGAGCCAAGAGGATATAAACAGATTTATAGCAAGCAATGATACTGAAGCAGTAATGAAGAGTCCCAGCAAAGAAAAGCCGAAAAACAGATGAAGTCATTGCCAAATTCTACCAGGCCTTTAAAGAAATAGCAGCACCAATGCTCCTCAAAACTATTCCAAAAATAGAAAGGGAAGAAAAGCTAAGAAAAGCTAACAGATTCATTCTATGGAGCCAGTATTACCCTGATACCAAAACTAGATAAGGACACAACAACAACAACAACAAAAAGATTATAGACCAGTTTCCTCATAAATAAAATACTTGCAGAACAAATTCAGCTATACATTAAAGAGATCATACTGCATGATCAAGTTGGTTTCATTCCAGGGATTCAGGATGGCTCAACATACACAATCAGTAAACATAATACAGCACATAAATAATCAAGGACAAAAACCTCATCTCAATAAATGAAGAAGAATCCTTTGAAAAAATTGAACATCCATTCATGATAAAAGATCTGAAGAAACATACCTCAACATAATAAAAAGTTATTGGGAAAAACTGAAGCCATTTCTTCTAAAACCATTTCTTCTGGCTGGGCTGGGGCACTGGTGGCTCATGCCTGTAATCCTATCTACTCAGGAAGCAGAGATCAAGAGGATTACAGTTCGAAGCCAGCCCCAGGCAAACAGCTCACAAGACCCTACTTCAAAAATACTCAATACATAAAAAGGGCTGGCGGAGTGGCTCAAGCCTGCCTGCCCAGCAAGCACGAGGCCCTGAGTTCAAACCACGGTAACACACACACACACACACACACACACACACACACACAAAACTAAAGCCATTCTCTCCCCTCCACTCTTAATCAATATACTGCTTGAATTCCTAGCCAGAGCAAGAA